ACTTCAAGGATTCTCGTCTGTTTTGCAGTACACATCTGTATCATGAGCAGCAGTCGGGATGGACCACATGGTCGCGAAGATCTTCTGTTCAATAGTGGAGACCGGCAACCTAAGGCATGGGACTTGGAGCATTGAACCATATAGGGCCCCTTTAGGTTAGGCATGATATTGATCGGGCGGCAGCAAAGCTGCATACCACCAAAGGTGAGTGGCAGTGGAGGGGCTAGAGCCTCGGATCATAGGGTCCAAAGCACAACAGTGACAACGACTAAATCACTGCACCAACAGCAACCTGATAAGAAGTCAAAGCAAGTTCGCCAATGCTGTCGGTTTACTGCCATGACCTTCAGTGTCTCCAATTATGCAGTTACTGAGTCTTTTGGACCCCAACCCGGAAGACACCTACCCTACCTAATCGCTCTGCGCATTTCTTAAAGCCTCGTCTCCACGTCATCTGCTGGCCTCTATGCAGCTTATTCCAGCTTGCAACAGCTGCTGCGAATTAGGCGCGCTGCGGTAGTCAACCGTCGGACATACGCAAAACGTGTCCTGACCGACGGAGCCTACTGAGCTGAATTCGATGCGATAGAGATATCTTGTTCGATGCATTCCCAAAAACCCGAAGGCTTACTTCTGAGGTACTAACCGGTTCATTCCATCCCTCTCAGGCAGCCCACGTAAGCATCGGTTGTCGAAAAGAGCTAGGCGACGGATCTCTCCTACCGACAAATTGAAGGTCTTGAAACCGGTCAGCAGAACTGACCGTACAATATAGGCGATTTTTCAATTTGAGTGAAATGTCACGTCGCTGCCACATTTGTTTAAGTCTTGTTTACGCTGCACGAGGCGGTTATTTCCTTTGATGCGCTACCGCCGTTGGTCACGCAGCTACCTGAGCACGGGAAGCAGTCAGCTTCGGTTAATCCCTGACCATCTAGTTTCAGAACTCGACTAGAAGAAACCTAGTCTTGTAGTATCGCTTTCGCACTTTGAAGGTGCAAAGCGCATACCAAGCGAAACGACAGAACTTGCGTTTTGACCGAATAAAAATGGCGAGAAAAGCTCCATTGCAGTCGGTTAAATGAAATATCGTTCACTGTTGACAAAATATTGAAAATTGGTTCTCGTAGCTCGCTTGAACTGAATTCCATTTCGCCAGCTGGGCGAACAGGCGAAGTGAAATATTCCACTGTTTCCAACCAACCAGTTACGGACCCTTTTTTATCCCCAACCTGAATGGCAAGAGATAACTACTCTGACTGCTGGCTGTGCTTCGTCCCACGTCATCGGTTGACCTTCA